ACATTTTTATTGATTTCACAATCAAAGCCAGTTTCCATTTTGTAAAACCCAGAGATCTTCCAACATTTGAACAACAGTATAATAACAGTATAATAAACCACATCGGATTTCCATAACACCACATACAGAAACAGAAAATAAATAAATAATAGACAATAACAATAATAAAACAATAAGGTAATAAAAATAAATAAAAACAAATAAAATAAAACGAACCCTAACCCTTTTAATGACCGTCTCTGAGGAGTTATGTTTTCCTGTTGTTTGTTGATTTGTTTATAAACAGAATGATTTCCATTAAAGTTTAAATCTCAGTAAATCTCAGATCAGACCATTTTAAATTCTTTATGTTAAATCTCTCACGTCTCTGACTGATTGACTGATTGACTGATTGATTGATTGGTTGAAAAGAGCAAATCAGATGAAGAACAGCAGCACGTGAGCGCCCCCTGTCTGTCGCTCAGATTAGTGAAGCCTCCTCAGGGTTTGAGCTGTGGACCAATCATGATGTTTTATTGAGCTGTGCTGCCCCCTTGTGTTCACTCAGATTCTGTACAATGACAGTCACAGTTTTTAATTCTTGTCTCTGATGTTTCCTCTTAATTTGTTTTATTTATATCATTTTAATTGATTTGAATTTTTAGTTGCTCACTTCTTTGTAAAATGTAAATGCAGGATTGATTGTTCAGATTTCAACAGTGATTGATAAATAAAACTGTTACATTTTCCTTTTGACAACATGAACGTTTATTATTTAATCCTGTTTTAGACCCGAAGTTTCAAAATAAAGTTCCAAACTCCAACGTGACGTTTGACATTTTCTCCCAGATTTAAAGTAAAACACTGATCCCAGTCCAGTTTGTTATAAAATGAAAATGACTGTGATGTAATGAACTGTGTGAATTAACTCGTACTGTTCAGTAACACGTGGACTGTCCCTTTATGTTTCCTCTTCTTATTAAATGTCTGTTTGAATCTATGAAGTGTCATCAATCAATAAAACCCTTGAACAGAATCGAATGTGATTTATCTTAATTCCACTCAACAGATTCCTCAGGTCTCGTCTCCACTTTTCTTTTTGAATCTGTCAGAGAAAAGACTCCACTCCATCGTTTTACAAAGATCATAAAATGTTTATTACATTTCTTTAAATGCAGAATACGTCATGCTTCTATATCGACACCAAAACAAACCGTAGAGCGACTGAACCGACTGTCGTCGTGGTCTGTGTGACGTCATCGGTCGCATCACAGCACGCCACGAGTTCAGATGAGGCAGGAAGTCTATTCACAACACATCGTTGGTCGAGGGCAGCTGATATAAAAACATCTTGTTTAACGGCGTATTGTACAAAACAGATTCATGTGTGGTGACGAACATTCACGACAGTTTCTGTGTTACATACTTCTACGTTTTTCCAAAAGCTTCTTTACGTCCTCACGGTTCAAACCTCAGAGTCAGTTTCACTTCAAACGAGTTCAAGTCAGAGATCAAGAAAGAGACAACAACTTTCCGACCGACGACTCGGCTGCGTACGACAACGTGATAGAGCCGAAAACAGTCTGAGATATTTCAAGAGAGACGTCGTGATACCAAGAGAATGAAGAGGTCGGAAATCTTTCAGATTTAAGTCGTAATATCACAAGAATAAAGTCATGATGTCACAAACTAAATTCATAATATCCAGAAAATTATTTTGTAGAATCACAAGAAATAAAGTGGTGACATCACAAGTAATCAATCACAACTTTCTCCCGATATTACGACTTCATTTCAGAGATGTTTTCTTCGCCCCTGATGTTCAGTCGCAGACGAGATGAAAAGTGAAGAGCAGCTGCAGTAAAACAAGTAAATAAACAAGTTGTTAAAGTTGAGTTACCAGTGGTGGAAAAAAGATTCTTAACAAACTTACAAAATACTCATTTAAAACTTTACTTAAGTAAAAGCAACATGAAAATAAAGAATATAAAGAAAACAAGATATAAAGTAATCCTCCTTCAACACTGTACGACTGATGGAAGGATAATTAGTGTGAGCAGTCAGTCGAGGTGAAGCTGAAACTTTGTTCTCAGCTGTTTAACGAGCAAAAACGTGAATCTTGTAAAGTCTCGACGGTTTAAACTTGAAAACCGTTCATGTGCTGAAAGTGAAGTCAGAATATTTTACTGATCTGAATCAACAAGTCTTTTTCTTTTGAGAGAAACTCAAACAAATCAAATGAAATAACGTCAAGTTTTAGAAGACGATCGTCTTTAAAATAAAACATCTGCAGAGAACAAACATCTGTTGAACAAAGGAGATCAAATCAAAATAAGGCGCAACAGCGCCCCCTTCTGTAAGAACCCAGTAACTGCAGTTATAACATCACAGTGAGTTTCATCTTAACGAGACGTCGTGTTTGTTTCCTCATATTTTCCTCTTCAGCAGATTTACACAAACTACTGAAGTGATCTTAATGAGACTGTGTGGACGTGTGGCTCCCGACCCGACACTCACAACCCACTCTTTAAATAAGTGTGATTTTTTTCTGCACAAGAGAACGTGTGATCTTCCTGGATCTGCCCACTCATCCAGGACGAGATGTAAGAACTTCATTCTGGAACCAGATGGAAAAGAGTAAATTCATGTGCTGAGTTATTTTCCACCGCTGGTAACTATGACCACAAAGTCCTGTAACAGGAAGTAACGCAGCCTCTGATTAAACACGATAAACGAATGATTAACAGAGACACAGTCGTCTGCAGGGACGTATTAGTACTTCAACTTTTACTCAATGTGTCAAATGTGTGACATGTAAGGAAAACTTCGAGAGCTGAGATGATTCCAGCAAAATCAAAAAACTTTTGTAGAATTATTAAACGTTTTTAATAATCAATTTTCTTTAGTGAAGACTCCGAAGTTTTCTGAGTCTTAAAATATCAACATGAAAATCTGTTGGTTTGTTTTTTTTCTTGTCAAAATGTTTTAGAACTTGTTTTCTGATATTTGAAGAATTAAATAATGAATTGATAAAATCACCTTCAGCTCAATAAACCTGACTTTTCTTTTCTGGCTGCAGACGTTCACCCACACTGTGATTCTACATTTCAGAACCAAACCCACGTGTGTTTCCAATCATTTGAATGTTTCTTCTCAACCTTAACAGATTTCAGCAGCTTGTGTCAGAAACAAACATTCGATCGTCTTTTTGACGATCGGTGAACGCAGCGTTGAAAACCAGCGTGTCACGCTCTCGTCCATCGTTTCCTGTGAGACGATGGACGGAGGAGACTTAGAGAAGAGCGACACACGTCCTTATTATTATCATCGCACAACAAACACAGAAACTGAACATTTACATTTCCAACGTTTCACACCAACAACATTCATCTCAAGAAGCAACGTCAACGTGTTTTAATCCTTAGTGTCTAATTTTTCATTCAATAACATCTTGGTGGAAAAACTTTGTTGGAATCGGTTTTATTTAACAATTGTATCTTGGCACTTAATGCTGACGTTAGAAAAATAAAGTGAATCACAACAGTTAGAATTAGTGTTCAAGACTTCAACTCTTCCAGAAGTGAATTAAACTAAAATGTCCACACGCATGTGGTTTGTATGTTTATGTTAATTCATCTCCTCGAGGACACGTCGATGGTTTTATTCAAACTAAAACCGTCGACGTCCGAGAGACTGAACTTTTAAAGCTGAGGCAACAGATGAGAAGAAAAACAACGAACGGGTTAAAAATGAGGAGTCGATGTTTTAAAACTGAATAAAAGTTCAGCTAAGATTTCAAATCTGAGCCGGTGACGTCATCCCACCTCGTACCAGCAGCACAGAAACATCCTACAGCATTCTGAAAAGGAAGCACACATTTTAATATAAAACTTTTTTCTTTTCTTTTCCTGCATGCGACAGACACTCACACTGATGAGAGCGGAATGGTTGAACTGATAAAAACACTGTGAAGAGTAAACAGTCACAGGGACGGGTCAGGGGATTCTCGTCCGTCTCTACTTTAAACACAAAATAAAAATACAGACACCTGACGACGTCTCAACCTGCGAGCGGAGACGAACCGAGACTCATCAGTTTACAGTACAATCACTTTGTAGAAAACCTCGTCGTCCCACGTGTCCGAAGAAACGACCAAATAAAGTTAACAAGCGTAAAAACCAGGTTTTAGTGTTCGAGTGTGTGAGCAGCAGGTCTGTTCATCACTGACGCCCTGAGGCGGCGTCCGGGGGAGGAGACTAAAGTGAACAAGAGTAAAAGACGTGTAGTGTCGGTCGCTGTGTTGAGTTCATAAGACACCGAACAATAAAACTCATGTTTACAAACATGGAAGTCTCTGTGTGTGTGTGTGTGTGTGTGTGAGTGTG